TTTTTTTTTTTTTTTTTTTTTTTTTTTTTTTGGTAACATGTTCTTGTTGTTTGTTCAACTTTGCTGTACGCGTGTGGTTTGTGTTTTTTTTTTGTTTTTTTTTTTTTGTTTTGTTTTTCCGGTTTCCCAAATTCCAATTTTGAAATTTGAATCATGTAAATTTGATTTTAATGCAGAAAATCAAGGTTGACGAGTACATAACTCATGAGATGCCATTGGAGAAAATCAATGACGCATTTGATTTGCTGCATGGAGGCGAGTGCTTGCGCTGTGTCATCCACATGTGAATTGGCACTAAATTCAGTAATCGACGTAATCGCGTCATCGGACGAGAAACTCAGACGAGCGCTTGTGTGAGTACAACAAAAACAAATCCCTACGTTTGGTGCCATTTATCCGACTACGTGACTTTCCTAAAGAGGACAGTGTGAAGAAGGTACGCACAGGCAGAGGCAGAAGAGGCAGAGATCGACCTGAAAAGCGAAGTGCAGCGGAGGGTTTCAGGCTTCCGTTTGACGAAGAGTCGAAGACATTCAACACGTACACAATGGGGTTTATCAACGGCCGGTGTTTGGACTCCAATGTCCAGACGTTTTGAAAGCCACGTACGTGAGCTTGGAGACATTTCTGAATCCACCCACTTTTTGCGTTGACATTCTGAAGCCACTTTTTGTGTTGACATTCTGAATCCACCCACTTTTTGCGTTGACATTCTGAATCCACTTTTTGCGTTGACATTCTGAATCCACTTTTTGCGTTGACATTCTGAATCCACTTTTTGCGTTGACATTTTGAATCCACTTTTTGCGGTGATATTCTGAATGAGATTTTTTTTCCTCCCTTTCCCTCACCTAAGACACTTGTTCTGTTTGAGCTTTGAGTCTTCTTCTTCTTCTTCTACCTCTTCTTCTTCTCCCCTCCTCCTCCTCCTCCTCTTCTTCCCCCTTCCTCCTCTTCTTCTTCCCTCTTCCTCTCGTTACACTACATCTCCTCCTCTCTTCCTCCTCCTTTCTTTCCTTCCTCTTCTTCTCCTCCTCCTCCTCCTCTTTCTCCTCCTTATTTCTTCTTATCCTCCTCCTCCTCCTCCTCCTCCTCCTCCTCCTCCTCCTCCTTTTTCCTGTCTTTTTTTTGTTCTTTCTTGGGACCAAATTCTGATCGCATTATCTGGTCGCATTTTAGGGCAGGTTCGGTTCATCTGTAGCTAGATGTGGTTTCCGACCAGGGTGGTTCTACTGCGGTATCCTCTGCTTCATCCTGTCATTGTTTTTTTTTTGTTGTTGTTCCTCCCCACCTCGGCATCCTGTCTGCGCCATTTAATGCGTGGATAGTTCTGTAAAGAAGCTTTCTTTTTTCTCCCCAGTCGTGTGCTCATGAGGAGCCATTGTGACCAACTGAATGGTACATGCGTCTAATGGGCACACATGGATAGACAAGAGGGAGCCCAAATGTATCTGGCCCATGTTGCATTCCAGATACATGTAGAATGTTGAGCAGTGGAGCAATATCTTTCATGAGCGGTGCAACTGAGATTTCCTATGGTGGTCCGATGATGTAGTTGGCTTTTGGCTTTTCAAAACTACTTCGGTTGGTGATTTTTTTTTTCCACAAAATTCGTAGAGTTAGTTAAAAAAAAAAAAAAAAAAAAAAAAAAAAAAAAAAAAAAAAAAA